CAAGAAGCACAGTCAGAATTGTGAGATATAAACTCAGAATTATGAATAAAAATCAGAATAGTAGGATAATTAACCCTTTTTAATGTTTTTTTTTATTATCAGGCATTCGGTGAAGGTAAGGATGGACTTTCAAGTATGCAATTATGCAGTGAGCTGGAATACTGAGAGAGAGAGCTCTGTAAGGCCTCTGTTTAGTTTAAGTGAAGGGAGAAGTCGGTTGCAGTAATGTTATGCAAAAAAGTCTCTGGCAGCGGCGACAGCAACGAAACGGCGCAGTGGCAAAGCAGCGCTGGCATTTCACTGCCTGTACAGCTGGGCATTTTACCCTCTTTGATCCGTGACCCGGTCCAGACTAACATTTGTATCTGGCTAATGATTCCCAAGCCTTTCGCACGCACACCTTTTGGCCTAACGCTCCTTCCTCGTGCCAACTGTCTAGCCACCTGAGCTTAAAAAAAAGCCTGTCCTGATTCTGTCAGTGACACCTCTGCATCTGTGCGATCCATTCGGTTGGAGAGCTAATCAGAAACAGAGACAACATCGAGGCGCCTTGAGTCGCTGCCTCTTTGAAGGGCGACTCCAAACGGTGGCTGGTCATTTAGCGTTCCAGAGCACTGGCCCTCATTTCCCTGCCACCTCAGATGGAAGCAGCAGTCGCTCTCCCCCGCAAACGAAGCGCAAATAGGTTCCAGTGCTCATTTATGTATGCCAGTCTCACACTCGTCTGATTAAAACAATGTAAATGATTCATTCACGACCTGACTTCCAGGGACACAGGGAGTTGAACAGGAGGGCTATCATTAACAGCACAGCCTCAGTCCAACTCACCGGATGCAGGGACGACTTTGTCAAATCAACATCAAAAATTTAGCACCACAATCTATATTGTATAAGAGGTGTTATATAGTCATTTAATACGTTTCAGTGCTGCTATGGAACGGTATATGTTAGCTTTGCTGGAACTAGTTGACTTCTCAATTGTGATTAAATAAGATTAAGGTAAAATATATTTGATGCACTTTTATAACATGCAAAAATCCTTGCACATTCATTTCTACTCATCTAAATTGATCAAATAAATCACATCATTAAGAGGGATGTGCAAAATTTAGAATTGATGACACTGGTATCATATGGACGCTTTTTTCTTGCACAGGAGAATAAAATAAAGGTAATTGCAACTTCTTAACTCACAATTCAGCCTTTCTTTCTCTCACTTCTGAGTTCTCTCATAATTCTGTTTTTTTCTCGCAATTCCGAGTTTATATCTCACAATTTCAATATATATAATTATATCTCACAATTAATTTCCTTGCAATTTTGAGATATAAACTTGCAATTCTGAGAAGAAATGTCGAAATTGAGATATTGTAATTCTGATAATAAAGTCAGAATTGTGAGATAAAATGTTACAATAACCTTTTTTAATTTTTATTCTGTTGCAGTAACAAAAAAAAGTAAACTCTGAAAAAAAGACAGAATTCTAAGTTTATATCTCACAACTATGGTTATTTTTCTGAATTCTGAGTGGGAAAAAAAATTTGCAAGATATAAACGGTCTTTTTCTTCTGTGGAAAAAATCTGAATTGAGATATATATTAAAAAAAAGCTTTTATTCCACTGGCTAAGACAAGCTTCAATAGTTTCCTTTCAATTCAATTTGAATTGAATTGGCCAAACCATACATGAAGATGAATTAGAATTTGATACGGTGTGACAGATTTTTTTTTTCTGAATTTCAATGCAAAGAAACTCACAGCTTGAGCACATATTTAAGTGCTCATCCACTCTTGACCTATAAATCTTTTTTTTTTTTTTTTTTTTAATGTTTTTCAATATTTTTAAACAAAAAAAAACATTTTTCAATTATTTGTTCAACTTTGCTTTTCAATTTTGTCCAACTTTTGTTTTTCTAGTTAAAAATCAGTATATTAATTTAAATTCATTTTTTAATTCATTCTACTTCCTTGCATTAAAATTGAAATTGAAACTCTGCATCCTATTTGCTACCTCAAATCAGAGTCAATTCAAATTCAAGGCATTCTCAATTCAATTCTGACTGTCCCACAACCCTGTAAATACATATTGATACTCAAACTTTGCCTTGACAACCCCCATGAACCAAAGAGCAAGTGAAATCTATCCTCCTCCATTCAATACTACACAGTCGGTCTGTTTTATGTAAGGAGCGCCACCTATTGGATGCCAGCTGTACAGCAAGAAAAATTAATCCTTTCACAAGTTGCTGTCTGAAGCACAACACACAATCCCAGGACCTTCAAGGGAGCAATAAACTTCTAAAAATAGTTAAGACAGGTGGTACACGTAACAAACGCTTTTGAGCTGCATTATGAAGTGAAATAGATAAAGTTATTTTTTGTGATAAGGGCTATATCTTTTGCCATTGCTCTGCAGGGAATCGCTTTTAAAAGTGTGAAGTAGAACTCGCTCGCTATCAAAGCAAAGACAAGTGTTAAATCTTATGTGGAGTGTGTTTAATGGCCCGCTGTGTTGTATGGAGTGTGAACTACAGTATGTCAATTCATCTGGATTTCAAGCACATCATCAAAGCACAAGGCAGGAGATTCAAGCTGTCGGACATCAAAGCACACCTGACAGCCGTTCATGCTTCTGTGAGACTCTGATGACCCCATCCATCATATTTGTTTGGCAAGAGAGAAAGAAAGAGAGAAAGAGAGGAAAAGAAGGAGGGGTGAAGTCATAATTAATAGTCTCTTTTGTAGTAGCTCCACCTGGTCTGAACCTGATGGCCCGAGGCTCTGAGCGAAGCAAGTCCGTTCAGTGCTGCAACATCTGGAGAGATCTGGAACTCTGCTTGTGGCTATTTCTTCCATTCTCATCCTCCTTCCCACTCACTTTCTCTCCTTCATTTGACCTCACAATTCACAGGTGACTCTTTATCATCTGCACTAAGATGCCAACGTCATGTCATTAATCAGTTTTTTGATTTATTAAGCATTCCTCTGGCGTGTACTGTACATTTTCAAGCAGAGCTGACTGCAGGCGTGACGAGCCGCAACTGCATTCACTAGCTGTCTGTTACGCACATGCAGCATGCTCGCTCGCTGGTCTTCATTAGAAACTTTGGCAACATGCAACAAGCATGATGCTTGAATCAGTTCAATTCAATTCTATTTCTGTAGCACTTCTCACATCTCATGTTGTTCCAAAGTAGTTTTACAGAGATCACCAGCCACAATGTGCAAGACAAGGGCGACAAAAAAAACTCCCTAATATGATAACAGGAGAAGAAAAATAACATCTGAGGAACTGAGTCTGAGCAGAGGAAAGCCATTGTTTTCTAATAAATGCATTATGATTTTAAAAGTAGCTATACATATTAATGATTTAAATAAGGATGCACAACATATTGAAATAGTATCAGATTTTCTTTTATTTTCTTTTTTTTCTTTTTTTAAATCTGTATCCATCTATATTGGATATGCATTATTGACCAATATTAGATATATAACTGTGCAAGCTCACTGGGATTTGAGAAAAGCACTTTTTAAATAAATTGCATTATTATTAACATTATATTTACATTCAGATCAGCTCTAAAACACACTTTAAAACACAAATTTTGACAATTAAATATAATCTCAAAATGAATACCGATTTCTTTTAATATTGTACATTTTAATGTTTTATTAAGTGTTTTATTAGTATTTTATTTTATTACTACATTATTGTTTTTTTATTTTATATTTTACCATTTAGTATTTTTATTTTTAAGACCTTCAATCTATTATTTCATATTTTTTATTTGAATATTTAATATTTTAATGAAAATAATATAACACATATAAACATTAAAATACTATATTTAAACATTAAAATAATATTAAATTGATGTTAAAATTATTTAATAATTGCACTTTTATGATTTAATATTGTTTTTTATTTAATATTTTATTTAATACTTTTTATATTTTTAGTATTTATATTTTTATATTTTTAGTACTGAATATTTCTATTTTAAAAAATTTATTATAATAAAAATATAAAACAATTCTAAAATAAAATATATTAATATATTAAAATAACAATACAATTACATTAAAATAATATTGAGCTGCTTAGATTTTTAGTACTGAATATTTTGATTTTACATTTTTTATTATAATAAAAATATAAAACAATACTAAAATTAAATATATAAATATATTAAAATAACAATAAAATTACATTAAATTAATACTGAGCTGATAATATTTAAAAGATTATTTTAATAATTGTACTATTTTTTTTTACTTTAGTATTTTAGATTTTAATATTGGCAATTTGTCGGTTATCATCACTACAACACAAACATAATTATCAGCTGGTATAGGCCAGAATTGAAATATCAGTGCATTCCTAAACTCAAACCAAGAACCACACGACATAGCTAATATTAGATTACAAGGACATTTTCCTGATCAACATCCCAGATTTCCTATCAAACAATTACCAACCAAACTCTGTTCCTATACCATAAATTAAAGTGACGTTACCAGTCCTAAACCCTATTGGAATAGACTGTACTGAGCAGCAAATAAAGCATAAAAGTCCTAGTCTGAGGATGTCCCGCATCATTTTCACTTATGCGGTTAAACCTGCTTTAAAGCACAACGGGGCCCTGTAACACACCATTAGAACGTCTTTCTCAAGTCTCTGCAAGTATCTGCATGCTGGTCCTTGCGCAGTCTGCAATCCAGTTGCCATGGCAGCAGCAGCTGTATCCGTGGCGAGGGAAGGAAGCTGGCACCCCCCAATAACACAAGCCCCCCTCCCTCCGGTGACCCACTGCTGAACCGGGGCTGAGAGCAGAGGTCGATGGCTCGGAGCGGCCGCATGACAGTGAGGGATGACGGCGAATGAGAATGAGAAGAGGGAGTAGAGGCATACAGATGGGGAAGAGAGGAGGAGATATGGAGAAAAGATAAAAAAACGAGAGACAAGAGCAAATTTAATTACTATCAATGAAGGGATCTTCAAACAACAAATCGACTGCCAATTTTTCTGTGGGCTGTGTGAAATTAAGGCACCGTACAAAATGGATGGAGCTCTGCCGCTGGCTTTTTATCCTCCAGTGAAATTAAAAAAGATGCCTCTTGCCCAGAGCAGAGATGAACAGATTACTTCCATGTGTCATTGTACGCCCGCACTTGATATTGTTTGTCTCACACGCACAGATGTGCGCCGAAGCGCTCGTCCGATGGGTCCGAGTGTGTTCATCAGTAAGATGTGGGCAGAGATGTCAAGTGAGTTGACCTTTGACCGCCCATGCCAGAGGTCAAGCAGTTTAGGTCAGTGTCCTACATATGGCATTACATGTTCTTCTCACCTGGAAAATCAAAGAAACGTCTGAGAACATTGGCACTGACAGATCATGCTCCTACATGCATGAAACAAACCTGTCCAGAAATATCTCAGAATTAGTTTTCAACTTAGTTTACTGTGTTAATTAATCACTTTTGCTCTTTTGACAGATAGAATTGTAATAACTAAACGTGATGGTGTAGGGTGAAATAAAATCCATGCTATATAAAAGACTGAATAAACCGACCAGAACTATTAAAACGACAAAACCAAAATACATAAATGATGCTGTTAAAGAGACGTAGTGATAAAAATGAAGACACTGTTTTTTAAACAGGACTGTTTTTATTTATGGCTTATTGATAATTATTATGTTTTAATGGACATTTTTCAGGGTACACACCGTATTTAATTTGACACAAATAAAAAAAATACAGTCTGTGTTAAATCTTAACCTTTGTTGGCGTATTTATTCAATTTAGCAGGGTAAATATATGAATATTCATTATTTAATGTATGAACTAAAATATATGCTAAATATATGCTATATATGTTTTTGTGTTATATTGCCCCGGCATTAATAATTAAAAATGTATGTAAAAATATATTTTTTTAAAACTAGTCAACACTGCTGCGATGTAGTTCACATCATTATTGCACCTTCCCCGAACTACCATTAGTGACATCCTCAAGATTAATAAAAACTTTTTAATAAAAAATTTAATAAAATAAAAATATATGATTTTTATAAGGTTTATATCTTAAATTTAGAACGAAAGTGTTTTGTTTTTACTTGTTTAATGTAGATCACTTAATGAAATTTGATTTGATTTCTCATTCAATATAAAAAAAGGCATTTGCCTTTTTAATATTGTGTGAGAAGTCAAATTTCAAATACAGCTTCCCACAATAAACGTGGCACCTCGCTCTTAGTTTTTACTCTTTTGGGAAGTTGTGGAAACTTAATGGTAGATTATTTTTCCTTTTGCTGTTGGAAAAAAAGGAAGCACTGCAGTAACATTTGCTATCACCTCCAGATATTTGCTACCTGCTATTCTTTTCCATCTTGTTCCAAACAAATGTGAAAACAGTCTTAATGTCCTAGGTCACGACTAATTTTCATTCCACTGGAAAAAACATATTGTACCGTACAACACATTAAATAAACTAGACTCATTTTATGTCAAATTAAATATTCTGTTAAACTAAGGTCCGTTCATCAGTGGTTTTCTGGCATTTGAAAAAAAACAACAACAATGAAACATAAATACTCAATGTCTCAGGTGGAATAAAGAAATATTCTAATTTTATAAAAATGTAACAACACGTTCACAGATCACCACATTGTGTGCATTAATGAAGCCCTTGTCTGCATAGCATCATTTATAGCATCTATTAATTTGAATTATAAACTTGTATCTGCAGATTATTCAATTATAATCACCGAGCTCATTAGCATTCAGGTACAGGACAGCCCTTGCAAGCCTGACTGAGGCAAACAGCTCCCTCTGCTGGTCATTAACTTGCACTTCACCTTGAACACTGACAGGCTGAGAGTGATGTACACTCCAATTCAATGCATTCTGTTTTATACTCATCAAAACGAAATAAAAAATTTTAAACACAAAAGGCTTGCACTGATGTAGCCTGGTGCGTGTAACGCAGTAGCTGTTGCTAGCCGCGCTGAGATTGTTTGTTTGTGCGGCACGTGCTGTCTGTCTGCTTTAGCATGGTGCCCGAGCATTCTTTTTCATTTGCTTGTTTTCCAGATGTCGTGTCCTCCACATCACCCCGTCCTCGTCCTGCTCGGCTACCCCTCCCTCCCTCGCTCTCCCTCTGCCTGCAGCAGCGTCAGAGACCCTAACCGCATCAGGCGAGATAGCAGATTGGAAGTACAAGAGCGATCCATCCATCAAAAGAGAGAGAGCTGGGAAGGAAGGGAAGGCGGGGGGGGGGCATGAGAGAGAGAGAAAGCAAGAGAGGAAGTGAAAGAGAAAGATAATCGGAGGGATCTCTGCTAAACCGCAGATTATTAGCACTAAGCGTCTAACATGTCTAGACCCCGTCTTGTTGTGTTATTCCTTACTGAGCCAATAAACTAGGGCTAAACAACAGCAATGCAGACCTGAAATACAATAGACAATGAACACATTCAAAGCAAAGAACTCTGGGCCAACAACCACAGCCAAGATGCAAATAACCCTTTTGTTCTTGTTATGTTAGGACATGCCCTCATATTAAGACATGAGCCATCTAGCAGGGTTATGCACCATTCAGAAATGAATTGAAAATTAAATGAACTTCATGAATTTGAACTGCATTTGAAGTGAGGGAACACTCAGAACTGCAATTAAAATTTAAGTAGAAATAAAATGAAAAGTAATTCAAAGAAAGCGACACAATTGTAATTTGCACTAGAAAATAAAAGGTTTTCATAGTCAAGAGAGACAGACAGACAGATAGATACAGACAGACAGACAGACAGATACAGACAGACATATAGATAGACCGATACATACAGACAGAGAGACAGACAGACAGACAGATACAGACAGACATATAGATAGACCGATACATACAGACAGAGAGACAGACAGACAGACAGACAGATACAGACAGACATATAGATAGACCGATACATACAGACAGAGAGACAGACAGATACAGACAGACATATAGATAGACCGATACATACAGACAGAGAGACAGACAGACAGACAGACAGATAGATAGATAGGCCGATACATACAGAGAGACAGACAGATACAGACAGACATATAGATAGGCCGATACATACAGAGAGACAGACAGATACAGACAGACATACAGATAGGCCGATACATACATACAGACAGAGAGACAGACAGACACAGACAGACATATAGATAGGCCGATACAGACAGACAGACAGACAGATACAGACAGACATATAGATAGACCGATACATACAGACAGACAGACAGACAGACAGACAGACAGATAGATAGATAGGCCGATACATACAGAGAGACAGACAGATACAGACAGACATATAGATAGGCCGATACATACAGACAGACAGACAGATACAGACAGACATATAGATAGGCCGATACATACAGACAGACAGACAGATACAGACAGACATATAGATAGGCCGATACATACAGAGAGACAGACAGATACAGACAGACATATAGATAGGCCGATACATACATACAGACAGAGAGACAGACAGATACAGACAGACATATAGATAGACCGATACATACAGACAGAGAGACAGACAGATACAGACAGACATATAGATAGACCGATACATACAGACAGAGAGACAGACAGACGGATAGATAGACAGACAGACGGATAGACAGACAGATAGAAAGACAGAGACAGACAGACAGATACATACATACATAGATGGATGAGGGTGAAAGAACGCTTCATTTCCTAAAATGTGTTGAATGTCTTGGAATTGCAAGTCAATAAATTTCCTTTTCTGTCATTCCAGTTCATCCTGTGGTGTGTGGCCAATTCTATTCAAATTCACACTGATGAATTACAAGCCATTTCTGAATTAATCTAGTCTGGTGGTTTCGCTCACAGGTCATGTTTGCGTAAACACCTGTTGCAGCAGGGCAGACGCGCAGACGAGGAGAGGACCTGAAGGACAGCTGTCTCGTCTGGCCTGCAGCGGGCAGTGGCTCTATGATGGATAGCACCGAGTTAAAACAGGTGTGCCATGGGAGTTCTTCACAGTGCGGCGTTCTCTCCGCTCCCCTGCACTCCTACCCATGATTCATGCAGCAAGGCAGAGAGATGCTCCATAATAGGAAACATACCGCATGTTTCGGTATGCATGGCGTGTGCGAATAGTTTGGGTCATACTTGGGTTGCCCTGCCACTACCTCAGTTCTCAGCAGCTCTTCATCTCTTTATCGCTGTGATATAACGCTTCACTTCCCCCTGCGTATCTCTGGCACCCCTGCGCTGCATCTGTGTATCGCAGCTCTCGCCTCCCCCTCATTCTTAATGTGTTTGTGGCTCTCTCTCTCTCTCTCCAACACGCTCTCCATCTCCATTTCTAATTCCCTCGCTCTATCTCTTCCTCTCTCTTCCACCTTCTCTTTCCCCGCTGATGAATCACCTTCCCCTCCCGTTGAACTCGACTGAATCCGAGGGAAGCAGTAAAGTAGCATCGATCAGCCCCACAAGCCACAGCAGTGAGACACGGAAACAACAAACCACGCTCCCGGCTGTGCACCAACGCACGCACACACGCACATGTTTCGGAGCGTCTCACACACTCGTGAGTGTGTTTTTACCGGGCACAGGGGAATACGAAAGGTCGCAAATCTCTTTGGGCCCAGTGTGTGATTTGCATGTCGTATGCAAATGGATGCGTCATTACATGACTATTCCGTTTCTATCCATGCACCGGTACACGGTAGAAAAGGTGCACGCTCGTGTACACATGTGCAGAATATGTGCATTCAGCACATAAGGGAATCATAAATCAGTTCACATTCTTTTGGCCTATAAAATCTCGAACGGGGGAAAAAGCACATGGCTGAATTGCTGGCACTTGCAAAACACATGAAAGGTGCATCATCATTTTAACTTGTATAGAAGTGATCAATCAGTAATGCAGGTAGAAGTGAGACAAATACAACTTTTGAAAAGGTGTAAAAAATCCAGTCTGTGAGTATTGAAAGCAGTGGTCAACAGTAATGACCAGTTGGGACGGTAGTTCCCATTTTTTTTAGAAAAAGTTGCTCCACCAATATTTTCACTGCCAAAAAAATAAATAATAATAACAATAAAATACAAAGAAAAAAAAGATTATCGCGATTAATCGCATCCAGAATAAAAGTTTTAGTTTACATAATATATGTGTGTGTACTATGTATATTTATTACGTATAT